ATGGAAGACCTCCACTCTGCCAGAGCAGCGGTTGTCAGAGTTGACCAGCCTCACTGGTGAAAGAGCTACAAGAAGAACAGAGAGCACACTCTGTAAAAGTGAACTTGAAAAAACAACAAAAACAACAACAACAAAAATCTGGCAAAAACTGCAAATAATGTCCACATCAAAAATCTGTATCTTTACTCATAACTTTTTTTTTTTTACTTCATTTGACTCACTGTAAAACAACACTGTTTTGGACTGGGTTTAAATCAGAAATAAATAGCATTATTTACGGATGCTTGCCATTATTTCAACCAAAGATTATGTATAATAAAGACTGAAAAAATGTCATTTCACAGATCGTCCCTATTTTTCATAAAAGAAATAACATCCAGTAAAAACACCCCAAAAACAGTGAATTTACATGTCGACTAAAACAAACAAAACTGACTAAAACTGTGCAGGATTTCTACATTGAATATTTGTATTTTTACAAATAGTAATTCAAAATTCAAAGTACTGTTTGTAAAACTACAGATTTTTGAGTGATCAAGAAAGTTAGTTTTACTGCATTTAAAACTTGTCTTGTAGATATTTGCCATTATTTTCACCATTTTTACAGTTTTGGAATATTTCAGTCTTCTTTTTACATGTAGTTTTAACAGTGCAGTACTGTTGATGGAAAACACAGATGAAAGTGGACTTTTCAGGATGATAATACTTTTGAAAAACTACATAAACAGCAGAAAAAACAACAATTCAAACAACAAATTTCCCATTTCTGTAATTTCTGTCAATTACTGAAATCCTTCAGCTAAATACAGCGTATTATATCTATTGTATCACAGACAGACAGCAACACTGTCTTTTGCTAAATGAACTCATCTTTACCTTCACAAACAACACCAGCGTCTTCATGGTGCCCACAGTTGTGAGATCCTAACCCTTGGTGACGACACTCAGAAAGATTTGATTCGTCGCCGCTGCACACGACATCGTCCATCCAGATGGGCCCTGTGCCCTGTCCAAAATGTGCATGTATTGGTGCTGAGAGCGCCCTGCCACAGCCCAGCTGTCTGCACACCACCTGAGCATCAAACAGGTCCCAGGAATCATCACACACCGTCCCCCACCGTCCACTGTGGAAGATCTCCACTCTGCCAGAGCAGGAGCTGTTTCCATTGGCCAGGCGGATCTCCCCTTCGACCGCTGTGCTGTTACCTGATGTAGCTGTGGTAGCAGTGTTGTTGTCCGCTTGTACTGGTGTGGTTGTCCATACTGGTTGGGCTGTGCTGTAATGTGATGTTGTTGTGGTGGTTGGATAAGTAGTGTTTGAAGAAACTCCGGGGCTTCCTGCGTATGTCTCTGTTTACAATAACAAAACAGAATTGCACGAATGCTGAAGCAATTACATTTTTTATTTTTTCTGCAAACAAGCTGCTGAATTTGAAAAAAACTCCAATAACAGTAGCTTTACTGACACGAATGCATGAAGTGAAAAACTTTCATTTGCTCTGGAAGCGTAAGATCTTTAAAATGAAACAATACCTGCACAGTATGCCAGGTAGCATGTGGATGGCGCCTGAAGTTTGTAGACGTAGTAGTTTCCATGGCAGAGTTTGACCTGGATGGTGTGCGAACTAAAATGGCAGCAATTACTTTGATAGGAATTACACACAGTGCGATTTACAATTTCTCCAGTCTGTGTGGGATGAGGTTGTGTCAACCATAGAGGAGCATGGGTGCCACATGTGTTTTCACGGACACACCAGTCTGGAATACGAGCACTGCTTTTACCCAGAAACATGCGATACCAGCCTTGCCAGTTAATATTTTGATCACAGTTTAAATTCTCCAACGATGTGTTATTTGTTGAACGCCAGTCATCATTTATTGTAGTGTAGTGCACACAGGGATCAACACATCGGGCAGTCCCATTGGCACTGAAGCAGTCCATACCCGGAGGGCAAACTCCACAGCTGACCTTTACAGATTGGTCTTCCACACAGCCCCTGTCTGGTGACCAGTGGTAACCTTGGCGACAGCAAGAGGAATCACTGCAGAGTTTGGCATTGTAGCAGGTAAGACCATCGCCTACCAAGCCTTCCTTACAGACACAAGAGATGGCCTTGCTGGAGAAAGTGTCGCCTCTTTCTTTTGACTGCAAGCAGGTGGCTTCATCATGACATGAAGCACAGCTGGTAACAAGCGTCCCTATGAAAAGTACAGAAATAGTCTGACAGGTGCTGTTGCAGAATTGTAGTAGTTATGACATACAGGTGATATTAAAT